CCCCAAAACCCCAAAACCCCAAAACCCCATGGGATTAATTTAATGAAAAAGATTTTGAAATTTTATAAATTAATATTAGTTAACAAAGGTAGGTAGCATTTTAATGACATATTAATTTATTGGACTTTTTTGCATATTTTTCACATATCTTGTTTTATAAGTTAAACCTTACATTCTCATGATAATATATTTGAGCAAATCAATTTTAGGTTATTTTCATGGAAACGAGAATAACCTTCTTCATCCTCTGTCTCTTTAAGATATTACCATTTTCTTTCATGAATAGAATCATCGATGCATTCATTTATTAAGTCATCTTATAACTCAGATTCATCTATAGTTTAATCCAAATTTTATGATTATACTTCAATAATTGGTATATTATTGACTTCCAATCTATTAATTTACATGTTTATGTTATACTAGGAGTTGAAATCTCTAAACCAAGGATTTTATCGTTATATTTATATTTTTTCATTTCCTAATTTATTATTGAAAATTTTCTTCTATTTTTGATCTTCTGATAAAAACTGATCCATCTCAATACTGTCTTTAAGTTCTTCAATTTTTTCTAGAGTTGTATTTTTATGAGGGGATTTAGACTAACTAAAACTTCCTATGAGATGCCTGTTGTAAATGAGACTCTAAAGAGCGATATTTTAATCAATTGGTACATTGCTGTCTAATATTTTAAGTTTGTCTTATTAATTTTTCTATTTATAATATTATTAATTTGTAACCCTTTAATTTCGCTTTATCTAAAAATGCTAAAGAGGAGAGATTTCACAGTCAACTGGATTTTCATCAAATAAGTCTCCAAACCGAGAATATGGTTTACTAGTGGCTTTGAAATTCTTATTAACGGGAGAAATTGATCTTTATTATTCGAAATTTAAACTTAGGGGGCTAATATTTACTCGAGGTTGTTATTAACACATTGACTACTGCAATTCTTTTCTCATTAAAAGTTAAAACTTAGGGTCCTTATTTGGTTATGATTTTAATGGAATATTCAATGCATTTTCAAAAGAAACTTTTTTTGAGTCTAGCAATTATTAATTACTGATTTACAGTTTTTCTTCCTTTGTTGACAATTAGTTTTGCGCTTTTAGAAACAAGAATTCTTTAGAAGATGAAATATTCTAGAGTTTCTTCAGTTAAGAACTTTAATTTAAATTAGTTCTAAATTATTTATTTTGTTTAGTGCACTGATTCTAGTATTACTAAGGCTTTATCATTTCCTTAAACTTATACTCATAGAAGGAGTACTAGCATATCCAATCTTTAGTCACATTACTCCAGTCCATATTCCAATAAGTCTGAAACATTAAGTTATTGATTTTCTAGTTCATATATTGAATTATATAGTTGTAATCAGGCTCTTCCTCAAAATTCAAATTATTGCAATACTTGATTAAATTTTTAATGAAACCTAAATTATTAAATAATGACATTATTACAATTATTTTTTTGCTTCTGGATAGCCTCATGAAATTTACCCTTCTCTTTTTAAACCTGTATAAATGCGTATCCTTTCTTTTATTTGTTCAAATGTTTCGACCATGGTAGTTATCCTTCTTTTAGAAACAACAAGAGATAAAAAATAGACAGTAGATCATCTCTTCTAGAAGGACCTAAAATATTATAATTAATGTCTGATAATCAAAGCAAGAAAAATGTCAAGGTATATTACTATGACCATTCATCTAGTAAACACTGCTGAATGCAATATTCCCATTGAACTCTCTCTTTATTTCATTAGGTAAATGATTTGAATTTTAATCCATGTATCTCTATGAGACACTGAAATCAATAAGTGCGACTAATGAGGATTCAGGCGAAGACAAGTCAGAGCTATATAGCATTATATTATCAGGCTTTAAGTCTAAATGAACATATCCGATTTGATGAAGTTGCTTGATTATTTTAATCTAGATGTACAATTTAAACTTCTATTTTATCATACCAATTAGATTCCAATTTAGAGCAATGTTTTCTTTGTTAGACAGTTCCTGACAATTTTTATCACATTTTATAGTGAAATCCCCAAAAGTTGAATGGCAATATAACAATTATTGTCTAAAGTTTTGCCAGATCCTAAGTAATTGGGGAATCCAAAATTGTTTGTTTCATCACCTACACTACAATTATCACAAAATAATTCATCTTGCCGATTGATTAGAGAATTTAGTATATGTCTTTTTCTATTTGGAATTCTTAATTTTCTTCAGACTATATTATAGACAATTAATTGAGGGTGAAGTACGATTTTAATGGCACATTTGAGATCTGTTTGAGTGTCTAAGGCCTCATAGACTTTACCTTAAGCTCCAACTCCTATCTCTTTTATTAATTAAAATCTATTGTCTAATTTCTATTCTGAATAGATCATGATTCGAATTGTTTATTTATTATAATAGCCCGTCATAGAAGTAATATAAATAATCACTTCTTCAATCAGGTTTTTCAATTGATACACTAACTTAACTTTCAATGTACAAAGTTGGAATGGGGTTTTGGGGTTTTGGGGTTTTGGGGTTTTGGGG